GGAAGGAAGGAAGGAAGGAGATGGATAGGAAGGAAGGAAAAGCTGATGATGGATGGGAAGGAAGGGAGGAGTTGATGATGGACAGACAGAAGGAAGGGACAATCAAACAAAGGGATAAATACTCAAGCCCTCAAGAAGCCAGTCATGGGAGGAAAGGTCCCCTGGATAGTTAGAGATTTCAGATAGCTGGATAATTCAGAGTACCTTCAGATTTGTCTCCTGCAATCCTCTAAGCCCATGTTATTTATTTACTAAGCTGTAAATAAGTAGACTTTACCATGTGGTGTAGTAAACAGAGTGATAGACCAGGACCAGGGAGGTCTGGTAAATACACTCTGGAAAGGTTTTTTTTTATTTTTATTTTTATTTAGTGTATTCAGGCAGTGGATAAATGAATCAGTGGATAATGATACCATAGTTAGGGGATCCTACTGTACAGGGAAAAGGGAACACTCTTCCAACTCACTTCCATCCGAGCTACTCAATTTGTCTGAATGAGTCCTTATTATTAGAAAGCCCCAATTTCCCAGAAAGCAGATTCAGCCCAAGAGGTAACAATTCACCCAAGCAATTTCATCTACATGGAAGGCTCAACAAGGGTTTGGACTCCGTTCTCCAAAGTCTAGAAGCAAGGCCCACACACAGCTGTCTCTGGGGCCACACTGACCTTCTTTGGAGCAGGTACGTAGGGCTTCTGGAAGCTGTCAAGCCTGGCCTTTGAGTCGCGGTACACCCGTGGGTAACGGAGAGCTTTCTCCAGAGCTTGGACATGGTGCTGTATCCCTGGTGCAAATGAAAACGGAATTAAAAGTGGAAACAGAGAAATAGACTGGGCATTCTATGGGGGGGGTTGTGAAATGTGCGCTTCCCAAACTTCCACATGAATTCGCTTTCAGTTCTAAAGCAAGATGTGCATTTTCCTGCTAATTTTATAATGCAGTTTGCAATTTTTTTAAAAAATGCACAAAGCAAAAACTAACTCTAGAAGGTGACCATGTGCAAAAGAAAAAAAAGCTGTGTATTAAAAGGCAAACTAAATGGGTGTCAAACATATGAGAAACAGGTTGCAGGAATGCATATTATATTTGAAAAAAATGCAAACAAATATGAATGCATTCTCCAAGGCTTTCACGGCTGGGATCTGATGGTTGTTAAAGTTTTTTGGGTTTTTTTTTTTTTTGGCTCTTTGGCAGTGTTCTGAAGGTTGTTCTTCTACAGGAGTCAGAACTCTGTCTGTGCTCTGGTGCAGTTTGTTTGGATAGTTGAGTATTTATAGCTGTGGGATCAGCTTTAGTCCTTTTCAGGAGATTGGGTGATTATGGTGATCAGCGTGGTTTTTTTGGATGCACTGGGGAAAGTATACATAAAAATGAGTCTTTTGGGGAAAGCGCATGTAAAAACTCGATGTGGAAGTGGAAGGGAGCAAACACCAGAGCCAGGAGAGAAATGGGAAAATCAATGGAATCAAATCTGTTAGCAGGGGTGCGTACTGGTCAGTCATGATTCACTGTCGAGTCCAACTTTTAGGTTGCTCTAAAAGTTGGACCTGGGTCTCCAACTGGAAGACTTGCCAGCATCCCTACTAGGTAGTCTCTGGTCCAGTTGAAAAGGGCGACCACCTTCTTCCCTGGACATGTTTCTGCATGTGGCATTAAAGAGGTTGGTTGTCTCAACGTTATTACTGGGGGTTGCATCAACAGATCTTGTGAAAGTCCCATTTCTGGGCTTCCTGTAAGGCAGATTACAGTTACTTTTCCAAGGTCTCTGGCCCTGTTAGTCATGAAAGTTACATCATGGAAGGAGAAGGGCATGTTCTGCTCTTCACCCACTTCTCACGGAACTCAGGCTGAGCTGCGTTTGAGCCGGATCACTCCCAAGGAGTGGGGGTTGGTTTATTTATTTATTAAATACCTAAACACACCACCCCTTTTTGTCCAAAAAAAAGGTACGGAAGGGGACTCGCAGTGCTAAAAAATACAGGATTAAAAACAAATTCTGGATTGAAACGTAACAGCCAATTCATAAAATAAAACTAAGCGTACAGATCAGTCCAATGGACAGAGATGGAAATCATCGGGTGTCTCTCCCCCCCCCCAACAGGTGGTGCTAGAATTTGGAATCAGCCACCAAAAAATGCTTCCGAGGGTGGCAGGAGTCAGGAAAAGGTTTCCTCTGAAGAGCTAAACCTGAGTGGGCTCATAGGAGAGAATGGGGTTCTTTTCCTGTGGTGCAGGGATTAAACTGCAGTATGTACTGCAGTGACGACTCCGCTCACACCCTGAGTTTGATCCCAACGGGCTCAGTTAGCTGGACCAAGGCTGACTCAAATTTCCATCTTTCTGAGGTCAGTAAATTGAGTATCCAGCTCATCCCGGGGGGGGCATCGGCAGGGGGCAATGTGCCGCCTACATAATTAAATGGTAAAGTGCCCAAGAGAGTGCTTCAAGCCCTATGGGGCAGTATATAAGGGCCACGCTTTGCTTTGCTTTTTCTAATTTGTTTCCAAGCTACGTAAGTCCTTTTTACAGGTCATGACCCGTGCTTCAAATTTTGCAGGAAACACCGACCGGATCGACTCACCCACGGGCTCAATGAAGTCGGGGCCAGGGTCTCCCCCGAGCAGCTCCTCGTAACCTCTGTATTTCTCAGGCACGGCGTGGGAGGGGCCGGTCAACTGGTCTTTGCTCGGCTGCTCCGTCGGTTCCAGAAGGGGACTGGAGGCATCGTCCACCTTCAGACCCAAGCCAGAGATGGGGCACATTTTTTAACCAAAAGGCGACGCTCCCAACACGAACCACCCCTGGTGGCTGCAGCCCAAGAACCCCACACACAGCCACACTCGGAGGGGAGGAGGGACCCTCCTGGCATGGAAGGAGGTTAAAGGCACAAACCAGGAAATCAGAAAAGCGCCCGGTGTCTTGAAGGCGCTTTCCAAAAGGTTACCCAGATTCCTTTCCAGGCATTGGATATATAACCCATCCTGTTTCAAAAAAACAACAACAACAGATCCTTTCCACCACCACGCCTCTCCTCTTGCAGACAACAAACGGGATCGCGGCACGGGTTTCAGTAACTACCTTCCCACGTTTGTTTGTTTGTTTAATTTTTATGCCACCCATCGAACCGACGGTCACTCTGGGCAGTTCACAATGATGACAATAACACAAAGAAAAAAATAACATGATCAGAGCGCAATTAAATTTAAACGAACTAAACAAATGGACATTTTAGAACAGATAAAAACAGGCTGTGGATAAAAGGGTGACACTCTCAGCGGCTCTTAGGAGGGTATCGGCCGGACTGCCAGAAAGCCGGCTTCATGTCTCGGCCTTGATGGCCATAACAAGCGGCTGCTGCTAGGGTGTGGTTTTTTTTGTTTTTTCCTTTTCTTGCAATGTCTGATGTTCTGGAGGAGATATGATGATTCTTAAAACTCCATATAAAAAGGATCATATGCCAGGGTGACTTGTGATGAAACCCGAAAGGGCACCTCTGAACACCTGGCAGGACGGCATTTCATCCGTCCACAGGGCTCCCCCAGGTCCTGCAGCTGTTTCCCACTGGGTTCTAGGCAGTGCGTGCGTGCGTATGTGTGCAAGAGAGGGGGAGGCAGGGAGATTACTAATCCCCATTACACAGCTTTCCCCCCACCCCTGGAAAAAAATCTTCATTTTCGCTTGTACTGGTAGTATGACGAGATGAACAGTCATTATAAATAACCAGAAGTTGGGAAAGTTACTTTTCGAACAACTCCCAGAATCCAAAAGCCGGCATATGGCCAGCGGCCGCCAAGGTCCAGGCCCCTCCTTCTACGATCTGATTATAATCCCCGGTGACTTTCCAGTTGCAAAGTCTTCTTAAATTTGTTCTCGTATTTTTATTTCGTTTCGACCTAGAAAGCTTGCACAGACTTAACACGGCGACCTCTTCCAACAATGACTTTCCTCTGCTCAAGATAAATTCTCTGCTGAAAAGTCCCAGCAAAACCAACAACAAAACTTCTGATAACAATTTAATGTTGTTCTTTTTTTTTTGGTCATTTGGTTTTGCAAGCCGGGATCCACCTCCCCTCATCCTCTGAAACGTGTGCCCTTGTAAAATGGCTTGACTTTGAACTCTCATCCCAGCAGATGGGGCCTTTTACCTCCTACAGATATTTCGCCAGAGAATTTTTGCAGAACTAGACCTGCGAGGGAGACTTTCCACAACAGCATCGTCTGCAAAATTCTGAACGAAGTGTCCCTATTTTAGCAGTGGGTCTTTTTCTCTGCCACTGAGGGAGAAAAATGGGAGACAAAAATGGTTCCAACCAACCAATCAGTGACATTTCTGTCTCTCTCTCTTTTTCTTGTCCCAGCTGACTGAATGAACGGGCATTTCCCATTGATTTTTATTTTTATTTTTGGGAACCCATGATACCAAAAATGACAAGTAGGGCTGCCTGGTTATGAGCAAGTGGTCCCCATTCAGGAAAAACAGGAGCTCTTAGTACGGTTGAGCTCCTGTATCTGCAGAGGACCGGTATCCAAGACCACCCTCCGCAGAGGCTGAAAAATGTGGATTATAGCAAACACTATTTTAATAGCGAACACTATTTGTAAGCATGGTCTCTGGCTCCATCTAGTGGCCAGTTCTGGAAATGACATCATGGAAACATATATTTCTAGAATGTTTCCTTTAACATTTTTAATATTTTCAGACCATGGATAAGTGAATCAGTGCATACTGATCTTGTGGATAAGGGGGTCCTACTCCATATTGGAAATCCTATGGCAATGCTTCCCAATCTTGGGTCCCCAGAAGTTCTTGGACTGCAATTCCCAGGAAACTTCGGCGCTAGCTGTGCTGGCCAGGATTTCTGGGAGTCCAAGAACATCTGGGGACCCAAGATTGGGAAGCCCTGTCCTATGGGGTCAGGAAATACCCCAAAAGTCACTCAACACAATTTCCCCGTCCTAATCAGCTTGGATGGAGGGTTAACAGTTGCACAAGCCTGTCGCTTCTAAAACAAGTGCCAACAATTCAGCCCCCACTTGGAAGTGGCTTTTTTTGTAAAACTAGTTTTTGGTCAGGTTTTCAATTTTTTAAAAAAAAGTAATGGGTACACAGCTCTGCAACCTGTCATCAGACACACATGCCCACCTGGGTCATGAAGAAGGATTGCGACGTCTCTGCCGCCAACGACTCCGCGCTGCTGCTCAGCATTTCGGTATCAGTGGAAAGTTCATCGTAAAGTCTTGAAGGAACAGCTTCTGGCTGGATTCGGGCAAACAACTGATAAAGCTCACTGGAAGATGACCGGGAGGGTGAAAGAAGCTGCAGTGAACTCTTTGGGGCTGTGGAGGGCCTGCGAGGTGGAAGGTTGTCCACCACCGGGGTCTCCTGGCTGGAGCTGGTTGGTGGAAGAAGCTTGGTGGAGGAGTCCTTCGGCTCTGGAGGCCACTCTGTGGTCTGTGGTTCGGCTTCTGTCTGATTTGGTTCTTGGGATACTGAGCTAGCAGGCGGCGCAGGTTCCGACCCATGCTGATCCTCTGGAGGGGATCTTCCTGGTGCAGAAGGATCAGCTGAAGATGAAGGAGACCCAACTGAGCCCTCTTCACCTGCAAGAAGTCCACCTGGTGGGCCAAACTCAGGAGGATGCTCTCCTTGTACAGATAAGAAAGGTAAAGCAAGAGATTCTGCTGGGAGGAAGTGGATGGGAGGAAGAGGTTCAGAGAGATCCTGCTCCCCTCCGGAGGGTTCAGTTAAAGAGACGGGTTCTCTCAGATCCTGCGCTTGTGAAACTGAGCTGCCTGGTGGAGCTGGGTCTTCAGAAGCCTCAGCTGCAAGACAACCGCTCCACAAACCCGCCCCGAGGGCATCTTCTGGAGGAGATCGAGTTAGTGAAGGACACTCTGACAAATCCAGCCCTTGAGATGATGGGCTGGCCTCTGCCACGAGTTCCAATGGGTCCTGTTTGACAACAGGGGATCCAGTTTTTGGGAAAGCGTTGGGCAGATCTTCTTCCTCTGAAGGCGAACAGATGGGCAGAGAAGACTCATCCACACCACACTCTCCCGCATGAGGTTCTGTCGACAGGTCCGGTTCAGAAGAACTCTGTTCTGGAAAAGCTGAGCTGGCCGACGGTGGGACTGGTTGCGGCCGGTCTTGCTCAGACGTGACAAGCGTCTCAGACGGTTCACGACGTTCTGCATGAGGGGTGGGGACATCTTCTGCCAGGTCCTGCTGTTGCAATGGTGAGTTTGGAGGCGGAAGAAGTCCTGAGGGAGTTCGCTGGGCCAAAGGCGGTGAGGGTGGTGGAGGTCTCTCAGAGATATCCTTTCCTGATAAACGCCTTCCGGCTGGAGAGGCATCCCCCAAGTCATTTGGTGCTGGTGGAAGCGGTTCAGGCGGAACGTGTTCCGTCAGGCGTGGCTCAGTGGGTAGCAGCAGATTCAGGGGGTCCTGTTGCTTTAAAAGCGACCCACCTTGTGGGACAGATTCAAGCAGAACCTGATCCATAGAGGACTGGCCCTCGGGAGTACTTTCGAAGAGTATCTGGTTGAGTGAGGAGTCACTTCCCAGAGCGGTTACAGACAGAAGCTCTCCAACGGAGGACTGGCTGCCGTCTTCAGAAAAGCAGCTTTCCTGAGAATACGGTGCAGATATTTCACCCTTGTCCAGAGTAGAAAGAATCTGCATGTCGGAGCCGTTGGCTGTGGAACAGGATCGGATGGAAGGAAGCGGCCGAGACCCGTCTCGGATAAAACTTTTGCTCTCGTCCAGCAGGTCAGCGCCCGTCCACAGTTGCCAGAAGGTGGTCTCAAGTGGCACTTCTATCCTCCGAGGGCGCTTCCGGACCTTGGGCAGCTGTGAGGTCACCTGCAACAGACATTAAGGACGGCGGTGCCCTGCGGTCCAGAACGGAAAGCTGGGAAAGGTGATTTCTTTGGACCACAACGTTCGGATGCTGGGAATGCTGGGCATCCATCTGGGATGGTCCAACTGTGGATTCCCTCTATTGGCAGGGGGCTGGAAGACATGGATCCTTTTGGACTAGACCAGTGCTTCCCATCTTTGGGTCTCCAGATGTTCTTGGACTAAAACTCCCAGAAGCCATCACCAGTCGCTGTGCTGGACAGGGTTTCTGGAAGGTGTAGTCCAGGAACATCGGAGTGACCCAAGGTGGAGAACCACTGGACTTTAGCAGTGGTTTTCAAACTGGGGTCCACAGATGTCCCTGGACTGCAATTCCCAGAAATCTTCACCACTTGCTCTGTTGGCCAAGATTTCTGCACATCTGGAGACTCCAGTTGGAGAACCACTGGACTAGATGACCCTTGGGTTGTCTTTCATCTCTACAACTCTATGAGTCAACAACTTTACCCTTCTCTACCTTACCTAGAACACACGTTTAGTTACAACCAAGAGCACCAAGACCTCTGGGTACCTTACCTATGAGTGGTGTCCACCTTCACTGCTAGTTTTTTAAAAATCTCTTTCTTTACCTCTACTTTCTCATTTTTTTGCCAGTTCTCCAGACCTCCAGGTTCTCTGGGCCACCATTCCCACCAGCAGCAGCCAACGTGGCTTGCCAATCACCTCTTCTCCTGGCACGATGGCTGGAATAGACGGGAATTGGCATGCAAAGGATCGGGAGAGTGCTGGGTTAGTGCAAGCTTGTTGAGGAAGGGGAAAGGAGGAAACGTTGAAAAGGGGAAGGGGGTGCAACCCGGCACCAACCAGGACACTGCGTCGTGAC